ATCTTCACTTGACATTCGGCCTAGTGTTCTGAATCAGGCAGCATCTTTCAACGAGAACAGGAGGGCGAAGAACGCTGAGCACGTAAGACAATGTCTAACACATGTAGCAGGAGGGAAGGCCTCACACGACAAACCTAGCCACCACATAAATCCAAAATGGGGTTTTCTTTTTGTTACCTCCAAAGTACTGTGAAAGCTGACAACGAAATTCAATGGAAAGGTTTCATTGAATGGACTCACAAAACTATTTGCAGCCTCTGGGCTGTGTCCTCAGAGGCCTCTGGGCCTGTTCTCCCATTGGTATCTGGAGGGGAGAGTTATCCAGCCCACACTGAAGGTGTCCAGCCATGAAAGCCACACTGCTAGTACCAGTTAGCCAGCAGGGTGTGAAGAAAATCTCCGTACAGAGGCCTTTCTTGACTTGACATCATTTTGAAACCATTTCTATCTGCCCATGTGATAAAACGGACAGCACGCTTTTAGAGCACAACTATGTGAAATCAAGTTCTAAAAAAGAATCCTGACAGAAGTTCATCTGAAAAAAACCATGCTTTCATTTTCTTTCATACGCTGAGGAGACCTCCTACTGACAGCCACATTCAGCAACTAAATATCTAGTGACTAAGAGAGCGATCACACGGGGGAGTGCTCCGATTTACAGAGGAGGACCGCGGTGCCAAAACTGAGATGTCTCTAAGTTATTTTTTGTAGGGTGTAAGAACAAAGGCATCCCATGTGTCTGAAGAAATAAGAGTGAAAGTCACGACCTCGTTCTTCCTCCTCCTTTTGACAAATGTGACTGAACAGAGAGCCAGATGCGTTCCAGGATGGTCCAGCTGACTCACTGTTACTGCTAACACGAACTAGCAGTTCCAAGACACGAGGCCAACTGATAAACGGGATTTGCATGGTCTTCCAGAAGGAAGTTCTGTTCTGTTCTACTCACTTGCTCAATCTCGATTCTCTCATTCATGTGGAGTAATGGGATTGGCAGTAAACACCACCAGACAAATCTCAGAGGATTCCTGAGTTACTTCAGTGATTTGCTAATCTTCTACTCTGTACTTTTATAAAATCATTATCAGAAACTGAATCAACAATTGGAGAGATTGGAAGTAGCTTTCACCGTAACCATTTCCCTCACGTAATCATTTCCCATACATGATCCTACCAAAGCCCCTGTTCTTCTTTAAATGGAATAAGTCAGCAGGGAGGTAGATATTATAACATTGTGGAATAATTGGTCTTAGAATTTCAAATAGTCCATGTCCTTAATTTGGATTTGCCCAAGAGGTGGAAATTTCAGATTCAGGAATTAATCTGCATTAAATCCTGGTTCTACCTCCTCGGTAGCTGTGTGACCTTGGGAAAATTACTTAACCTCTTTGTGTTTCAGTCTCCTCATCTGTAAAATGGAGTCAATAATAATGAGAAAAATGCTTAGCTCAGAGTTAGCATGATAAACGACAGCAATTATAATAATTTTAGGACCTTTAGACTATTCTAGCATTCATTTTCCTCTGAGTTCATCTGTACCTCACTGGATTCAAAGTGTATTTTACTCTAGATATTAAACGCCTGTAAATTTCTGTATATTGATAGGGGTGTTGGTGGGTGGTAAGACTTTGATCTGAAGAAGGGAATGTACTTAGGTGACTGTGTAAGCCAGATGATTTGCTGTCAATTTCTGAATGAGTCCCATAGTTCAGGGTACATAGTGTTAAGAAGGATTTATATTTTAGGATGTCTTTCCTGATGTCTAATTGAAATTTTCTAAATGCCTCATGTTTTATTCCTCATTTATGGAGATGTTGAACGGCATCTTTTATTTTATATTGGAACAATGAATACTTGACAGCAGTTGTTGTATCATTTGTCAGTACTTAAAAAACAAACAAATACCCAAATCCAATTTTAAAATTTCTTTTGTCTTAGACTCCAATCCTGCTTTTTTTTTTTTTTAAAGATTTTATTCATTTATTCATGAGAGACAGAGAGAGAGAGAGAAGCAGAAGGAGAAGCAGGCTCCCAAGGAGCAGGGAGCCCGATGTGGGACTCGATCCCAGGACCCTTGGACCATGACCTGAGCCGAAGGCAGACGCTTAACCATCTGAGCCACCCAGGCGCCCTCCAATCCTGCTTCTTTAAACCCCTCCTCTCTGAGACTAAACCTTGTGAGGGGCATCTGGATCCTATGGGAGCACTGATTAAAACCCAGAATGGTAACAAGACTCAGGCACAGTATGTCAGGTGCTAAGTTAGGGAAGTGGGCCATTTGTTTTATATATAGTGACTTTTCTCAAGGAGGAAAGAAGCACCAACCTCCATTTACCAGATTCACAATGCACTGGGTGTGGTATAGTGATATATTTGATTTGATTAACACATAATCACAGTCTTGAAACATCTTATTTTAACATTCGAGGCATATTTGATTTTGCCATTCCCAAATATTATTCATTCATTCACTCACTCAGCAAGTATTCATTGCCTACTATAAATATACAAGGGTGTGTGCTAGACTTTTCCATCTATGCCGTCTGGCCCTAACTGGATTATGAATCCTTTCAGAGCAGAGATATTGCAGCTTACTCATATTTTATCCCAAGCCTCAGCCTGTAGAAGACCTTCAACCAATGCAACAAACATACATTACGTAAATGAACCGTGGGATGCAGATACTATGCTTGTTGTGTGTAACCAAATAATAAAATATTGATTTCTATTTATTCCTTGATCATATTTAAACTCAAAATTTAAGAACATGAATGCAGACATTGTCTCCGTGAATAATGTGTCAGCAGTATTATGTTAGACCTTTCCCTTATATGAAATATATAATCTATATGCTTATATAAAAACAAGATGAGATCAACAACCTCCATAAATTTTTCAGGGAATCAAGAGTTTTTGGGGACAATAATAGTTTAAAATAGGATTTCTTGCAGACTTGCATCCCTTTTCATGTAGCAGAAGGAAGTGAGCAAAGAAATCTAAGTACACTGAAGTTTTCAGGGCCAAGCATTTTGATTCAATATGTTCTGCCATAAAATATTTGGCCTTGTTTGAATCTTTATTGCTGTATGTTCTCAGTCTATATTTAACTGTGAGAAACACAAGTAAGAAAGAGCAAATTGCAAAATGTTCTTTTCAAGTGTATGGTAGCAAATTTGAGAAAACATATATTAAAGGAACGCTTTGTGCTTTTAACTTCCAGCCCCTTGTCTGAGGCCTCCATTGGCCAGAAAGGATGAAATGTTTATTGAACTAAGGACTCAGCTGACTTGGAATGAGAATTCTTAAGGGTCTCAGAGCTGTCTAAGATAAGCGCCTTACTTCGCCGTGCTCTCAAAGTTTCTTTCACACTGTCTTTTTCATAGGTGAAATAGGTTTCATTAGAAAGTTTTATAATGGAGACTTCCAATTCCCCGATTCCTTATTTGTTCAAATTAAGTTTTTAAAATCAGGGTGTTCGCTCTGTCTTCAGCCAACAATCTTGCCTCACAGAGGACGCCATCCCTCACTGTCAGCTTCTTTCTGCCCCACCTTCTCCGTGCGGTAATACACTTTAATTGGCCCCTCTCACCTCCACCTGGCCAAATAAACACACTTTTTTCCATTCAGCCTTACCTTCTTGGCAGTTAGCAAGAGAATAGACTTGCCACAATGGGTAATCTTTAAGAGGCCCCCAAATCCTCAAATGAAAGGAACGGGTACAGGGGGTGTCATCTGCAGCTCTCTAGAGAATGGCTCGCCTACGAGGTGGCTTTGTGCTCAACAGGGTTTGAACGAGGTTCTCTTGGTTGAAACTGCACTTCCTGAGCAGCGTCCATGTTGAGAACTCTGGGTTCTCTCAGAAGGCAAATGAGTGATGAAATATTCCATTTCCAAGGACAGAGGAACTTTCTGAAGACAGACTTGCTATCAACCTAATTCCACTGGTCAGATTGGGACAAGTGTAACGAGGAGGCAGAGTGGTGGAATGGTTAAGAGCATGGGCCCCGGAGTCAGATTGGGTTCAAATCCTGCTGCTGTTAATTTATTACCTGTGTGACCTCAGTTAATCAAATTGCTCTGGGCCTCAGTTTCCCCATCAGTAAAATGGAGATAATATTAGTACCAACCTAATAAGATCATTGTAAAGGTTAATGAGATATATCTGACATGTTTAGCATAGGGCGTGGCTCATATTCACTAATAATAATAATAATTATTATTTTTTTAAAAATATTTTATTTATTTGACAGAGAGAGACACAGTGAGAGAGGGAACACAGCAGGGGGAGTGGGAGAGGGAGAAGCAGGCTTCCTGTGGAGCAGGGAGCCCGATGCGGGGCTCGATCCCAGGACCCTGGGATCATGACCTGAGCCAAAGGCAGACGCTTAACAACTGAGCCACCCAGGCGCCCCAGTAATTATTATTTTTTAGGCAAGGTCAGTAGACCAAATTCCTTGGGCAGCAGAAAGGGAAGGAGAGGGCGAATAACAGATATGAAGGTATTCCTCAAATAATTCCTCACTCTTCAAATGTTTCACTTTTTACATAGCTCCATCATGAAGCAGGAGTGTGAGGGATGATCACAAGATGACAGGGTTTGTGCATGCATTCACTCCTTCACTGTGGTCTCCTTCCTTTGGGGCTTTTGAGAGGATGCTTGTTTTTCTCTAACCCTCAGGGTCATGTGGGCTGAACTGAATGCTTTCAGGGCAAAATAGCCAGTACTGCTTTCTTGATAACTACATATAGGTAAGGTGTTGCTTCTTTCGCTCGTTTCTGGTTTATGTCTCTCTCCCTTTCCACATCTTCCCTTTCTCTAACTCCCACTTTGGTGAGATACTTTTCTCAGCATGAGGCAGAGGTGATCAGGTATCCCTCTGTGCATTATTACCAACTTAGGATGTGAGAAGAAGGCCAACTAGAACAGCAGGGCTCAGAGGTCCCTCTGAATCCCAGGGGCACAAGCAATTCTGAGCAGCAAGTGGACAGTAGGGGTCTCTCACCGGTCGCTTTCTCAGGATTGTTGCACATGAAGCATTGCCACGCTCCTGCTGCTTCGCTGAAGCCAAATACATCAAAGAATCTCACTTCTTCCAGATGGAGCTGTACCTGGTCCAGATCCTGTTCCAGGAACACAAAACACAAAGAACTCATAAGCCGATCTGCCTGCTACATAGCATTCTGGGACTAAAAGAAGGGATATGGGAGTAGGGTGGCCAGTGCTCAGACTCAGTGCTAAGGACAAGGAGTGAGCATTGACAAAACGTCTCTGGGCCCATCCTTCATGAGAGCAGCCACCTCAAACCCTTCCGAGGGAGTTCTCTTAAATGTGGAGGGCAGTAAGCATGAGCCCCAGGGTCGGGGGTGAGGCCTGAAGTGGTCCAGCATTTTCTTGCATCTAATGGCATCTCCAGAATTTCTAAAAAGGAGGGGTAGTCACGTGGCCGTGTGGTTGAAAGGAATGCTGCAGGGGAGTTTGTCTTGTATTTTACACTTTGCATAAAATTGAGAATCGCGTATCTATATCAAAAACATTATTTTTGTTAGGTTGGTGTTGCAGGGGGCTGATGGGAAACATGGGAGAGGGCTTAATCCTTGGCTCTGGCACTGTTTTAGTTCTACCTTTTATCTTAAAAGCATCTGCAGGTCTTGCATTATATTCCGTGATATGGCTGTATTGGTTTTAATGGAAAATAATGTCTTAAATTACTTATCAATAAATTAATTAATTTTCCCCCTCCCAATAGCTGGTTGAATTGACACACCAAGAAGACCGTCCCTGTCTTATGTGCCCTGTGGCATTGTGCCAATGTGTTCCTGTTTAAGAGGCAGAGGAGAGAGGTTCTATTACACTGTAAATGGATGGCATACGATTAGCCTAACCAAATTAAATAGCTCTACTGTCCTCCTGAGGCTTTCCTATTATGCAAATGACTTGTAGCCTCTGCTACAGGGTGGTCAGAACCGCACTCTTAAAAGCTTGCTTTCCCAAGAGGGATTTAATGTCTTTGCCAGCTAGCCTTACACGTGCCCAGCTGACTGACATGTTTGTCCTCTGTTGAGTTGAGATTTTATTCCCTTTCCTCAGGTCCACACACTCAGATCTTCTACCCAGAGTAACAGTGCGTAGTAAGCCCAAGAGCCCAGGGATGGAGGCACTGTGTGTGCAGTTTATGATGGATCTAAAATATAGAATGGGCAAGTGGCTCCTTAGTTCCTCCTCCAAAGTTCCTGTTTCCCAGGTCTGCATTTCTTGACAGAGGTGAGAAATATGCCAAACTCTAAGCTCCTTGAGAGAATAGACATCTACTTTGTTCACAGTTGTAGCCCCAGAATCTAGTCCAACATCAGGAATGGATTAACAGCATCGGTTTGCAAGCCCAATGCAGTTTCCCAATGAACTATATGAAAGTATTATGAACATTTAAAGGGGATTCTTTTAAGAGAACATTTACACTCACTGGAACATAAACACAATGAAGGTAGGGATTTTCTCTGTTATATTGGCTACTATGATCTCAGCACCAAAAATGCCTATCACATAAGCAGGCATTAAATAAATATTTGTGGAATAATGAAAGGCATAAACTAGGACTAGAAATAAATACTTTTCAGCACTCTTTATTAAGACTATTATGGCTTGTGTTCTGGGATTGGACATCTTGGAGGCTCAACATGCTGAATACAGCATTTTGAGATGCTAACGTTTAATACCATTTTTTTAAAAAGCATGTTCCCAAGATAAAGACTGAAGAAGCACCCGGGAGTTTTGCAGGTTTCAAAGGATGAAATCTATATTAAAGTTTATGGGGAAAAGGCAGATGTTTATAAATATCAGTTGCAAAACTGTTAAGTCTCTGAAGTCTATACTTGGCCATTGGCAGGCAGATCACTTCTCTATTTCTCACATAACTAAGGATCAATTTTTCATTCAACACAAACACTGCTAACAAACAAAGTACTTAAAATAATATGTAAGGGTTCCTTTATTTTTCCTGTTCTGAGACCAGAAATGTCCCCGGTTGTTGCCCATAATCCACATTTGTCTTGGCAAAAAGTTACTTGAAAAGTTTAGGACAGGTGGCAAGCTACATTCCGGTATTCAAGCTCTGAAGTAAAAGCAGGCTTACTTCTTCAGAAGATTTAGGTGTTGTGCAAAGGGAATTGACTGAAGAAGAAGGATGGTAATTCTATGAACTGTTGAAATCAGCAATAACAGCCAACTTTAAATACAGACAGATGAAACACACGTAGCTCCAAATATTGTTGGAAAATCAAAGCAAAATCAATCATAAAATAAGCAAAAAAACCCCATCAACTAGTAATACCTAAATTTTTGGAATTTTGGTTTCCTCACTGTGCTTGAGGTCATTATTTCCCTCTCCTCTTTATCTTCTTTACCCTTCTGGGTCCTATAGCTTCCTAGGCCTTGCCCAAGATTGCTTATATGGCTTTTTTTTTTTTAATACAAGAGAACTAAAGTTGATTTGTTTAGAGAATTACACGCTTTTTTTTTTTAAGATTTTTTATTTATTTGAGAGAGAGACTGAGAGAGAGAGAGCACATGAGAGGGGGGAGGGTTGGGAGGGTCAGAAGGAGAAGCAGACTCCCTGCCGAGCAGGGAGCCCGATGCAGGACTCGATCCAGGGACTCCAGGATCATGACCTGAGCCGAAGGCAGTCGCTTAACCAACTGAGCCACCCAGGCGCCCTACACGCTTCTTTTAAAACAACTAGACTCCAGAAGAAGAATAAAAAGCATGCATATCTAAGCAGTCCCTCTCTGAGTATTTTAGTTCAATGGGATTATGGTAGACAGACCCTGGGTTGACCCCCTCCCAATAATTCCCATCTCCTGGTATTCATCCCCTCATCTAATCCCTTTTCCTTAAGTACGGGAGAGACCTATGACTTGCTTCTGAGAAAATGGCAAAGATGGTAAGATATCAATCCCATGTTTATGTTATTATGTATACACACACACCCCACACACATCCACACACACACACACACAGACCTATCTTGTTAGCAGATGCATAGGGAGACTCTCCTGCTGGCCTTGAAGAAGCAAGCTGCCATGTTTTGAAATACCTGTGGAGAGTTACACATGGCAAATAATTGTAGGTGGCCTCTAGGACCTAAAGGCAGCCTTCAGCCAATAGCCAGTACAAATTCCAGGTCTTCAGCCCTACCATCCCAAATAAATGGTATCTGCCAACAACCTAAGCACTTTTGGAAACAGACCCTTCCCATTCAAACCTCCAAATGAGACCACAGCCCAACTGATAGCTTGATTTTGCAGCCTTGGGAGACCTTGAGCAGAAGACCTGGCTAAGTCACAAGCAGACTCCTGACCCAAGGAAAATGTGAGATAACAAATAGATGTTGTTTTAAGCTGCTAGGTTTTGGTAATTTGTTATGAAGCATTAAGAATCAATACCGACATTGTGCCATGAAGAAGGGAAGGTGACAGGTACCCTGTTGGCCAATTCTCAATGAAAATGATGAGTCTACTTAGAGGGGTCACATTCTTCTGAGAACACTCCAAATCAGGCCTCAATAAAACCAGAAGAACATAAAGAGAAAGATATATAATCATAGTAAAGATATACTAAGAAAGGTTTTCCTGATAAACACCCTCTAACTCAAAAGGGATAGAAGCCCCTGGAGGAAAAATGATGTTTTTAAACAGCTGATTAAATGAATGTTTCTCCAGTTTTGTCTTGTTTTGTTTTTTTTTAATCATTAATGGGAGTAGGAATTTGTAGAACTATACAAAAAAGTCTCTTGCAAAGCCTCTTAGGGGAAAAATAAGCCAGATAGCATGGAAAGATGAGAGGATATTTACAACATTATTTTGATGACAGTGACAGCATGAGTCAATGCTATGGATTCCGTAAAAGTGCAAAGTGGCCTTTGGATCTTATAAAGTGGTCAGTGTACTGTGTAAGGGTAGGGGGAAGCAATTTTCCAGAAATCAGTGAAAGCATACATCTGGAAGAACTTTGGGTTCTGGTACATTTAAATTCTGTTTAAAGCTATTTTTGCACAGATACAAAACATAGGATTGCCTCATGTGCTCTGTGTGCCTATGGTTAATAGGATCAACTCTAGGCACATACTTCAAGTATGTTTTAAGAAATGTAAACAAGAGGTTTTTTTCTTTTTTAATGATCTCCAATATTTTCACATAATAGGAGGGCTTTATGTCTTTATGGTTATTTCTTGTACACAAATTCTAACTATATGGAGTCCAGGGTGTGCAATAAACTTATTGAAGGAAAAAAAAATTAATGGAGCATCCTTATACCATTTATCTCTATATTATTTATATTGTCCTACATTGTGCAAGCATAGTATCTTGCAAGAAACATACTGTATTCTGAAAAAACTAGCAAAAGAAACTCTAAAGAATATTTATGCTATAATTTAATTTTTAAATTTATTTCAACTTCTGAAAAATATTACTACTGAATTTAACTCATAGCAATTAGTATTTATAGCACCTAGTGTCAGGAACCAAGGATAAATAGGGGAAGGAGATATCCTGCATTCCAGGATATGAGACAGTAATGCACTGGGTCCATAGTATTCCTCACAGAGGAAAGCTGGAATACATCTTTATTTGTGTTTAGTTGTGGTAGTTATTAAGCTTCTTCTGGTGTGACTCTTTTGGCTCTCAACTGGATTAAAGCCCTTTGGCAAGAAGACTAATTTATTTGTTATTTTGTAGCTTCTGAAAATACGAAGTATAACACTTTGCCCATAAGAGATGTTCAATGAATCTTTTTAAATTTTTGCTAATTGAGACACACAGATTTTATCTGTAATTTATATCAACAGTAGCATTTAGGTTTTTTGTTTTTGTTTTTGTTTTTTTTTTTTAAAGTAGGCTCCATGCCCAGAGTGGAGCCCAATGCGGGGTTTGAACTCACCACCCCGAGATTAAGACTTGAGCTGAAATCAAGAATTGGATGCTTAACTGACTGAGTCACCTAGGCACCCTAGCATTTAGATTTTTAATTTTCACATCAATTATGCCCACTAAGCCCTTTCAGAACATTTTTATTTTTAAAAAAGACACCTATATTTCTATGTGTATTATAGGAATTCATTTTATTT